CGCGCAGGGCGCCGCGCGAAGCCTCCGCGCCCGCAGCACCGAGAGGCAGCGCCGCGGAGCCGCTCTCCCTCCCGCGCCGATCCATGAAAATGCTCTGGAAGCTGACGGATAATATCAAGTATGAGGAATGCGAGGTAAGCGCCTTTTGCCCCGCCACGCCGAAGCCTCCGTCCGTCTCCTGGTTTCCTATAGGGGAAAAAAAAAAGAAAAAAAAAAAAAAAGAAAAAGAAACTTCTTCTCGCGCCTTTGCCAGGGTCCTTGGCAGCCCTGCAGCTGGAGAGGGGCTGCGGGTGCATCCCGGTAACTTGGAGGTTTGTGGAAAGCCGGCTGGCCGGGAAGTGTGTGGGGAGAGGAAAACAGGACGGAGGATGCAGCAGCCGCCGCCTTGGCTATAGGTAGATCCCGTGTAGATAAGGCTCTGTAGGATGCTCCACTCATCCATACGGAGGGATGGACGGATGGATGGATGGATGCCTGAATGAATGGACGGATGAATGAATGAAAGGGCAAAGAGACAAAGGGAAAAGGACTATCCTTACACGCTAGGTACCCGAGGCATCCCAGTAGGATGACTCGGGACCAGCGCTTAAAATCAGCATTTTGGAGGTAGCAGCGGGTTTGGTAACACTGAACTGTGCTGCTTTCTTTTTTTTTCTTTCTTTCTTTCTTTTTTCTTTTTTCTCTTTTTTTTTCCCAGGGTCAGTTGCTGAAGTGAAACCGTGAAACCAGGAGGGTTGGAGCGATATCCCCCCAACCTCCTCATTTTCAGGGATTCACTCTCAACACCTTTGAGCAGCGATATTTTAAACTCTCGCGAAAAAAAAAATGAGAGAGAGAGATAAAATAAAATCTACCTAATTTTGTTCTGGAACCAGTCAGCGCAGATTGTATTGCATGAGTGAGTGAATGCGCATCCAGATTTTTTATTTATTATTTTTAAAGAGAGGCAAGTGTCTATTAATCTGACCAAAAAAAAAAAGAAAAAAGAAAGAAAAAAAAAACCAAAGGACCGATGCCCAGCACAAAAGCAACGAACACTCGTGTCACGCGTGTCGCCCAAGCTGCCCGCAACACGGGGCTCCCTTCGCCGGTGAACGCGCTGCGTGGGTCGCACCGTGCGGGGAGGCGCCCCCGCCCCACGGGCGTTTCTTGGGCAGGAGAGGGGGGGTCGCTGCCGTCCGAAGGCGCCGCTGCTGTTTGCGGAGCCGTCGTTAGGGCAGGAGAGCGGCCGCGGGCTCGTCACGCTCTCCGGGCACTGAGACAGCCCCGGGTCGGGTGGTTTGGGGTGAAGATGTTTCCCAGAGCGGAGGGGAGCTCTGAGATTTTGCGGCTGTTCGGATGCTTGATTTCTAGCAATGAGGTGTCAGGGTGTTGTGATCAATTTTGCTTTATTTTTTCAAAAGGCGGAGAGGAAAAAAAAAAGAAACACTCAGCTGGATTTAGTGGATTTAGGGAGAAAGGGCCTTTCGGCGCCGCTCTGCGCCGCAGGGCGGGCGTTTGGCCGCGCGCGTATCCCCGGCCGGGGCTTTCGCTGCCCGGCGCAAACGGGACCTCGCACCGAGGTGCCCCCAGCGCGGGCGGCCTCTGGCCGGGGCTCTCGTGTCGTCTGTCGCCGTGTCCGGGCGCGTGTGCGCGGCTCGGGCTGCCCGGTGGCTTCTTGTGGAAGGAAGAAAAGCGAATGGCCTGGCAGGACCTGCG